TTATGATTTTAATTTAAAATAAATTAAAATTAAAGTTATTGAATACATAAAATATATGTATTGATTTATTTATTTTAGGAATTTGAATTTCTAGAATAATTTGTGAGTTTATAAATTTAATCTAATAAATTAGACATGCAAATAACTTGTTATTTCATACCCAAACATACATACATATTGTAGAATCAATTTTAAATTGATTCAATTATGATCTTTAAGTCCGAAAATAAAATAATATATTTTATTATGTATATAAAATAAAAAGATATTTTCTATGAAATTTCAGACTATTAAGTTTTTGAGATTGAAGTTGCTTAAACTTTAATCGACAATTATGAGTATGTGTGTATAATGTTAAATGGGTAAATTTATTATTAATTAATTACTAGTTAATTTAATATTCATATTATGTGTGGGTTAGTAGTAAATATAACTTAATAATGAATTAATTATTGTCTAATTTAATATTCATATTATGTGAAGATTGGTAGCTACTAAAGTGGCCCAATCATAATGATTGATAAATATTAATTTTTGTAATAGACATAATTAATCATAAATTAGTTACTATCTAATTTAATATTCATATTATGTAAAGGTTAGTAGCTACCAAAGTGGCCTAACTATAATAGTTGATGAATATTAATTTTAGTAGTAAACATAATTGCAATATTTCATGAATTATGATACTTATAATTTTTTGTGATATTCATGAATATTGATTTTATTTAATTATGAGAAATAATTCCTCAAAGGGAATTGATTTTCAAGTGATTAAATAAAAATTAAAGGGTCGTATGTATTTTTTTTTATATTAGATAAATATAAGATATCCAAAAGTAACTTATTTGTTTAATTAAATAATGCATCACCAATAAAGGTATACATATAAATACATATAAGCATCATTATTAATATTTTATAGTTGCCACCCAAAGGGGTACTATAGTTATACATTGTATTTATATTTTTAAGTTATACATACGTGTTGTTAACTCAAAGCATTATTGTTGTTAAGATTTTATCTTATTATATTTGTTTTATTACAACCCTTAATGCGCATGCTACATCTGTTCTGATTCTCAATATGACTAACTTCTCATAATGAAATGAGTAAGTTGAGTTCAAAATTGAGATGTGTTAAATCTTGATTTAGCATTTTAAATTGAGAAACCTACTGTTATTACTGATAAAGACAGTTGGTGAGAATTTTTTTTTCATAATGCTTAGGAGATATTGAACAGATTAAGCATTATAGTTATGCGAATAATTGTTTTACATAGTTATAGTGCTAAGGAATATTTTGACTAGAAGAATGTTTTCGTATTGTAAATAAATATCTAAAACGAAAATTATTAATTGATATCACTACTATGCATTTTTGTTGGTACTCTTACCATGTATGGGTATGTTCTTAGGATAACTAATGTTGCTACCAAATTGAGAACCTTATAGATGATTGTGGATAAGAATTTTCTTATTCAATTTATCTCAATTTTATTTACTCGATATGGGTTATTTCGAATTAACACTATTAAGACAAGTGGAAAGTAAAAGAATTGACCATTATGTTAATTTAGGAGGAGACAAAGCTTAAGCAGCAGATAATTATTATGTTCATCTGATGACTCAAGGAGTTAGAAAGAAATTTTGGAATAAGTCAGAAAAGGCAATAAGTGAGTAACACCCAAAATTAAAAGATTTAGGTCAATCTACTAAAAGAAAGTAATGTAATAATGAAAAAGTGTCATTAATGTATTGACCACTTTTAGAAAGATTACATGACATATAAAAAATGATTCGAAAAAGAAAAGTACGCTTTTGACTTTTGTATATTGCGAATTACTTGTTGAAATTCTTTTTAATACATGATAGATTGACTTAAGTACTAATATTTATGTTTCTAATAGATGCAAGAATTTTTTATGGCTTAAACCACAAATTCAAATAAGAATTTCTTATTTATGATAATTGGGAAAAAGTTTTGTTGAAACCATTATGACACTATGTTTAATGTTAAACAATGGATTTTATTTAAATTATTTTAAAATTCTATGTTTATTCGATTTCCCATAATTTGATTTTATCTCAAAAACTTTATGTTAATGGTTTTTCATTTAAATTTGGTAATTATATTTATTTAAGAAATTATAATTTGTGAGTTATGGTATTATTGTTGATGATTTCTGTAAATTCAAATTTGATGGTTTATTTATTAAAATCCTTTTGATCTTGTATCATAATGTTAGAATTAAGCGTAGCTCAATTAATAGAAAATTTATCTTTGGCATAAAAGACTAGGTCAATATCTAGTGAAAGATCAGGAAAATTAGTAAAGGATGTGATTCTTCTGAATCTAAACTTTACTGATTTTGATGTGTGTGTAGATTGTATTAAGGGTAGACAAACTAAACGCATAAAGAAATGAGCCACAATAAGTACATAGCTTTTTGAAATTATTTGTAAACCTTCTGATGTTCCATCTTTTGGAGGAGAAAAGTATTTTATTGCCTTTATAGTTGATTTGTTCATGTTATGGATATATCTATTTGTTGTATTAAAAACTCAAGCAGTGGGTACTCTTGAAGTAAACATAAATGAGGTTGAAAAACAATTAGATAGAAAGTGAAAATCATAAGGTCATATAGAGGTGGTGAATATTGTGGAAAGTATGATGAAACGGGTTAATACTCTAACCGTTTGTTAAATTCCTTGAAATGTATGGTATTTGTGCTCAATACACTTTGTTATACATGCCACAGCAGAAGCGTGTAGCTGTAAGGCGTAATCGTACTCTTATGGAATTGGTTAGGAGTATGTTAAGTAATTCCTCGTTACCCATAATGTTGTGGATATTAAGTAATCTAAAGGGTACAAGTTTTACTATCCGAAACATAGTACGATAATTATTGAAACCGGTAATGTCAGATTCATTAAGAATGGTAAAATCAGTGGGAGTGATAAAAATAAGAATTTGATCATTTCAGAAGTTAGGGACAAATATCTTTACCCATAACTTATAAGGAAATAATTGTTCCTTCAGTTGTTGAACTGTATAACAACGAAGAACAATTAAATGATCAACAACTCTATAATGAGATTGTCACCAATGAATAGATTATAGAAGAATTATAAGGAATAACATTAAGATGATCTCAAAGAGAAAGGAGATCTGCTATTCCGGATGACTATGTGATATATCTGCAAGAATCTGTTTTTGATATATAGTGAGAAATATACAGATCCGGTTACATATTCACAAGTCATTAACAGTAATGATTTTACTAAATGGATTAGTGTCATGAATGAAGAGATTATAAAGAAATCTTCTCTCTAGTATTTAAGAAGGAATCTTTTAAAATATCATGGCATTAGTAACTTATTATGATTTAGAGTTACATCAAATGGATGTGAATACAATTTTTATGAATAGGAGTTTATAAGAGGAAGTCCATATGAAACAACTTGAAGACTTCATATTAGAGGGTAAAGAATTCATGGTCCGTAAACTTAAGATGTCAATATATGGATTTAAACAAACTTCCTAACAATGGTATATTAAGTTTAATGATACCATTATTTCTTTTGGTTTTAAGAAAAACACTGTTGATCAGTGTATATACTAGAAGGTTAGTGGGAGTAAGTTTATATTTCTGATTCTATATATTAATGATATTTTATTTATTAGTAGTTATCTTAGTTTATTATATGAAACTAAAAGTTATCTCTAAGAACTTTGAAATGAAATATATGGATGAGGCATCCTATGTGATAGGAATAAAAATATTTCATTATAGATCACATTGATTTGTTTTTAGAATTGTCTCATAAAGCATATATTAAAAGAGTTCTAGAAGATTTGGTTGGAGGAACAATATTATGAAAAAGTGCAAAGTAATTTATGATTACTTTGTCTATTATGAAATTTTAATTTGTAGCATGCTTTGAGGCTATAATTTATGATTGCAGAATTTATTTCAGGACTTGGAGTTATGGGTACCTTTTTCAGATTGCTGAAAATTTATGCTGCAATTGTTGATCTTCTTGTATGAAAAATGATAGGTATTCTAAAGTTGAAATACTTTATCATTAAAGAAGATATTTAGAAACAACGAATGTCTATTGAAATTATAAGAACGTAACTTATGATTGCAATCCATTAATGAATGGATTACCATCCAAGACATTTATGGAACATGTTGAAAGAATGGGTCTTAAATGTAGTCAATGATGATTATTTTTTAGTTGTGGATTGCTTAAATAGTGCTTATATATATTTGACATTTTACGCTGATTAAATGTGTTTCTGATATTTCCTATTAATTAATGTACATGTACGTATTGCTTTAATAAGTGGTAATAGGAATAGTCTTGGAAAAGACATTATTGTTAGATCATTATTGATACTTCTCATTTATAGACTATGTTGAATAGATTACTAGTGTTGTGATACATGGAAGGGACTGTGTCATTTAAGGATATATAACCGCCATGACTCGCATTGGTAATTTATTTACCATGGTATTTATAATGACCAATTTAATGAGTTAATCTGATTTATGGTGCACATTAATGACTATTTTACTAAACCACTACAGAAATTATCATATGTGCCAAGTGGGAGAATGTAAGATTATTTATTTAATTGTGACCCACATGATTTGGACATGTGACATATTACTTGGTGGGTAAGTAAATAGATATCAATTAATATTATTTATTTTTGGTCAACTTATAATTACTTTTTTGGTAATTACTTATTGGAGAAGTGTTTTCCTTTCTTATTCTTTACTTTGATGGAAAGTAGAATTATATTACTATAAGGAAAACTGGTCCTCTCTCTGTCTTTATAAAAGTGCATATACTCCATCAATTATGTACAATTAATGAAACAACACGTAAAAGTTTTATGTGTACAAAAGGCCAAGAGAGAAAAACCAGTTTCTACCTTTGCCTGTTGATCAGAGTTGCAGATTAGTTCGTGGTTAAATGATCTAGAAGTTGGATTTAATCTCAACAAGGTTTGATATCATGAATCGAGGTATTTATATCTAACTATTTATTTATGCATTATAAATATATGAAAATCATGAAGTTCTAAGATTATGGGTTTATGTTTATTTGTGATGAATGGTTTAACACGAATAATTATAGTTTACAAATTTTTCCTAACTAAGTTTAATTAAAATAATTACCCAAAAAAAAAAAAAAGAGAGTTTAATTGAAACAAAATATATTTGCTCACAGAATGCAACAAAAAAGATGCACACCAAAGTCAATATAGAATCTATAGAAACAAAGATTTAGAAGAAATAATGAATTTGCTTTTGAAATTGTCTAAGAACATGATCTCTGCTTTATAATATTTAGAAACAAGGGACCATTTTTTCATCCCCAATATCCTCTATGGGAACAAAAAAAGGTACAAAATTAAAATTTTTACATGGAAATGATGACCACTGCTTTACAAAATTGGATTCTATATGCATAGAATTGTCTCATGATCTGCTCAACTGAGAAGTGATATCAATGAAGATGTCCTCTCTGCAGGGAATTGTGAGACCACCCATTGGATGATCGAACCCAAATTCTTCCTTAGCTTGACTTAGTAAGTCTTGGAATGAAGGCTGGTTCAAGGATGATACTGGAACCACAAATCGCTTCTTTTCACTCTCTCCAACATAAACTGCAAAATAGCCTTTTGGGACATTTAGAGCTGTTGAAGCTGCTTGGTCTGCTGCCAAAGAAGGCATCCTAAGTATTTGCTTAGCATTAATAATACGAGGCATGCCGAAACCCATGATGTTGTATGAGCTAGAAAAGAAGCAAAGATCACAAGGAGGAGTTTGCAGAACAAAATGAAAGCTTTGAGAGTGAAGAGTGATGAGACTAGTGTGTTGGTTGTAGAATCACTAATATGTGTGTGTATATATATAGATAAAAGGGTATGCAAGAAATTCTCTGAAATGTTGAATGAGTGGAGATTTAGTTGGTGGTGTATAACATGAAGGATCACATGGTTTTGTCTTCCAAATCATCATCACGAATTCATAATGATGGAGTAAAATGTATTTTTGTTGAAAAACATCGTTCCCTACCACTGCTTGCAACAACCTACAGAGGAACCTAAGAGCAGATGCTCTATGGCCGGCATTTTCATTATCAAATGAGTGGTGAAGAGACTACTGCAGTTGGTCCACAAAATACATATTGGATGTGGTATCACATGGTTTTGCGATAATGTGATATTTTCGTGCTGTAATATGTCTTTGATAACTTGTTAGGCAGATCACCATAGCAGTACAAACAATGAAGGTCCACTGGAAACTATATCTTCCTGGCCTACTGATTATAAGATATTATGTATCCAATAGACCATTTGGATCAAATATTAAATAGTAGGTTCTAATATGCAGATTATTTTTCACAAATTCATTTAGAAAATAATATCCTGCTGCCTCGGACAAGGCCCTTGATTTGGAGGGACGATAGGTTGACTAGCATTCCTAGATCAGCCAGGCAGATAATGCGAGATAATGCGTTCTTTCATGAATATTTGATTCAAATTGACCAACCAAGATTATGTTCCTAATTGAAAGATATTATGTCTGTAATTACTATGAAGAAAATCAAAAGGAAGTTGGATATTTTGAGTGCAGGAACCCCAACTCTTCAGTCAAAGCAATTACGTCGTAGCTGCATTGCAGCTTGAAGATAAATGACTCGTGATTTTTTCACTATTTCCTTAGTTAATTAGTCTGAAGGAAGGGTGGATTAAGGTTACTAAAGAGTGATACATTACATAGATCTAGCATGTCATTTTAATTGTCACTAAGATTTGGCTTTTGGCAATTGAAAATGACATAGTTTAATCATATTACCTATGCAAAACAAAGGTTAGGTGTACATGTGTTGACACCCATTTTGATAATTGGGCTTGGATTACAATTGGGCCTGATGAACAGTGACGTAGCAGAGGTTTGGGCCATAAGAAGATACTGGGCTGAAGAGATGTGGTAATAAGTTTGGGCTGCAAGACATTTTACTCTACATGGGCTGAACAATAGACTTGGGCCACGGTTGGATAATAATGATGGAGTTAGAAGAAGATTGAGCTGTTGCATGGAATATTATCTACAACATTACAGATGGAATTGATTTGGATAAAGTTAAAGTAACATATAGATAGGAATGAAAATAAATACCAATTGTTTATCTACATGGTGTTATACATGGATATAGATTACAAGAGAAAGGGCAATGACGTGGCATATTTCACATGAGAACAAAGCTATACAAAAGGGCGTCACTGATCAGATGGATTATTTTTGAAATATTTTTAAACTTTATGTTGGATAAGATTTATATGTTTACTAGATTTTAATTAAGAATTAATATTTATCTAGGAACTTTAATTTGAATTTAAATTTAGTATTTAGTGATGAGGAGTTTGTTTCTAATAATTTCTATAAATAAACAAGGAGGCATGCTATACGAGAGGTCCAGCACCTTCAGAATCTTTATTATTTTTTGTTTGCTTTCTCAAGCTTTTCCAAGAATAACATCTTGCTATTTCTTCTTTCTTCCTTCCATATTTCTCAATCTCTCGTTCTATCTAAGTCTCTCTTTCCTTCTATATCTCTCTTTCTCTCTCTTTTCTTGCTATATCTATTTTCCTCCCATTTCTATTCTCTTGATACGATACTATAATTTGTTCACTATAAAGTCCTTTAACTAGGCAATTTTGAACCCAAAAAGGACAATTTCTACTTGAACCACACAAGTGGTTGCCCGCTCCATCTCAATTAGAATCGGATTTAATCAGCCGATTTTAGCGTCAACAACATGTTCAGGAGGTGAGCTTTAAAACAGTTCCTTCACAAATATATCAGTTTCTGCTGCTATTCTCTAGAACAGTGTGCAAATTAAGTTTAGGTTTAGTTGAGATGAGGAAATCTTAATATCCTATTGCCCCGAAATTATAACTTTTCGCCTCCTTTTCTATGATTTTCCTGTTTAATGCAATTACAAAATTATATAAGGCAACAATAAAAAAAAATTCACACCAAAGTGGATATAAAATCTATAGAAAGAAAGATTTGATGAATTAATGTATTTGCTTTTGAAATTATCTAAGAAGAGCATGATCTCCACTTTATAATATTTTGGAACAAGGGGCCATTTTTTTTCATCCCCAATCTCCACTCTGAAAAAAAAAAAAAAAAAAGGGTAAAAATTGAAATTTGTACATGGAAATGATGACTACTGCTTTACAAAATTGTGTCTATATGCGTAGGAATGTCTCATGATCTGCTTAATTGTGAAGTGATATCAATGAAGATGTCCTCTGTGCAGGGAATTGTGAGACCACCCATTGGATGGCCAAAGCCAAATTCTTCCTCAGCTTGACTTAACAAGTTCTGAAATGAAGGCTGGCTCAAGTATGATATTGGAACCACAAATCGCTTCTTTTCATTCTCACCAACATAAACTGCAAAGTAGCCTTTTGGGACATTTAGAACCATAGAATCTGGTTGGTTTGTTGTGAAAGAAGGCAGTCGAAGAATTTGCTTAGCATGAACAATACGAGGCACACGGAAACCCATTGTCGTATATATAAATCTCTCTCTCTCTCTCTCTCTCTCTGAAGTTTATAAAGAATTTGTTGAACAAATGAAAGTTTTGATAAGGAAGAATGTAAAGATTTGTGTTGGTTGTAGATTGACTCATATGTGGATATATATAGTGGAAAAGCCTATGCAATGTGGAATGAGTGGTGAAGAGGGATTTAGATGGCAATTTGTGAAAGACATTAGCATATGAAGGATCACATGGTTTTGACTTCCAACTCATCCCATCCGATTTTAGGTCCAAGCTTATATGATCATCACCAATTATCACTTGCAAGGAACATTGTCACAAGATCAGCAGCTAACTTCTTAAATCCCATGTTCGGTGGTGCCATAACATACACAACTACTGTGGTCTTTATGTTTATTTGATCTCAAACCCTAACAAGTATGTGGCCTGTATTGATTTATAGTTATAAGTAATAGGCCAATTTTTTTTTTCAACTTCATCTCCATTGTGTGTTCTGTTATAAAAATAGGCCATGACAAGGCACACACTATTACACTGTTCTGTGATAGTGATAGGCCATGAGAAGCCACCCACATATTCATTGTCTGTTCTGTTATGGCCCATGATAAGGCAACCCCATATATTTCATCAAGAGAAATTTTCATGTTCTCTGTTGGGAGGCATAACAATGTAATGCCACATGACATGTCTTTCATGGACCACAGTGCATTACTCTCTTGAGTCTTATGACATTTACTCTATATATATGTGTGTGTGTTGCAACATTTGCTAACCACCCACATCTCAAAGCTTCTTTTGTTTAACAAAGTCCTAAGATCAAGTACTTACTACTTCTCCAAGAAAAAACTTTTTGATACAAAATTATGGGTATCCGCTTGCTCAGAATTGTTCATGCTAAGCAGCTCCTCCAGCAGGTTTTTTCAACTCCAGCGATCACCGGTGTACCCAAAGGCCACGTTGCTGTTTATGTTGGAGAAACCGAGAAGAAGAGATTTGTAGTCCCAATTTCATTTTTGAAGCATCCATCATTTCAAAACTTGCTAAGCCAGGCTGAAGAAGAGTTTGGATTTGATCATCCAATGGGCGGTCTTACCATCCCATGTAGAGAAGAAACCTTCATAGATCTCATTTGCAATTTGAATTGTTCTTAAGCAATGAGAAGAAGGAATAGCTAGCCATTAGAGACCGATATTTAACACCACTGACCAAAAGAAAGCAATTGCTTCAATTTTGAATTAGAAGATTTGGTTGATTGTTGTATAAGTGATGTAACATTTGATTTTTTTTTGAAGCAAACTGAAAGTTGAATCTATTTGCATCAATTGAGTAGCTTAAATTCTTCTTTCCTTTAGCTCTATTAATACAATTGATGCTAATCTAGTATAAACAATAAGATTATGCATGCTGTCAATGTTAGTTACCAAAAGCCAAATCTATAATGTGGATTCACTCTGCCATTTCCATTTTGATTTTGAAGAATTATCTACCTGAAAAAAAAATTTAAAAATTTGAAGTATTCAGTAATTTATATTTACCTTGTTATGTATAAGATCAATGTTACTATGTCCCTTTGCCTAACATCTGAAAATTGCTGATGGTGACATCAATCAATATAAATATTGAAGTAGCTGCAGTAAAATGGAAGAAGAATCCCCAAATACGGTGCACTTATTTCAAATGGTCAAAAGTGAGATTAGTCGGCCATTTTTTAGCACTTAGAACATTTATCACAACAGCATCTGTTAAGTTGACATATGGTGTGGGTAGCATCCAGGACCACTAGTAGGTCATGATTCAGGTGGAAAACCTATTTTTTTCTTGCAAGTCGATGTTTTTGTACATGACTTGCAAGTGATCAATGGGATGACAGGAAACCTTAGGGCATAACAAGAATTGGGATTTACTATATGATCATGCACAGTGGGGGTTTTGGCATGCCTCTTATAAGCTGAATAATGGCATGATCATTAAGCCGTAGGGCATGATGTCTTTAACAACACAATTCTTTATTAGAATTGCTAATCTTGGTGAAGAAGCACATTCCCACATGGAAAAATACTATGTCAACTGTTGTGTTCTTTTGTATCACTTATTACCTACTAGCACAATGGCTAGGCAGCAGGTGGATGCCATGCTGACGTCTACGATTTTCATGTCTTTCTATGGAGTTCAGTGATCAAAATCTAGAGTGGGACATGTAAAAAAATCCTCAACATTTCTATGGAGTTCAGTGAGGCAGATAATGTGAGATAATGCATTCTTTCATGAATATTTGATTCAAATTGACCAACCAAGTTCTGTTCCTAATTGAAAGATATTATGTCTGTAAGTACTTTAAAAAAAAAAAAAAAAAATCAAAAGGAAGTTGAATATTTTGAGTGCAGGAACCCCAACTCTTCAGTCAAAGCAATTATGTCGTAGCAGCATTACAGCTTGAAATGAGACAAATGCTTCCAAGAAACCTCATCGACATACTTGTGGGAAATTGAACTGTAATGAACATGGGAGCATATGAATCTAAAGTCATGATAGGCATGGAAACTAACATGACCTTCTTATCACTACCCATTCCATTTGAACTTGATCCAAAATTCTTGTGAGAAATGTGTCAAAAGCTAAAAATGGAGGAACTGAATCAACTGATTTCATTTGTGATGATTTGAAAGAAGTGTAACCCAGGGGGTTCTTGTTAATGCTCCAAATTCGTACGACCTAATGACCGGCATCCTTCAGAAACAAAAAGACCAGGGTGCATTAAGAGGACTAAAGAGGGACAATATAAAGACATCACTAAGTTAGCACATCTTTGTTAATCATCACTAAAATTTAGCTTTTAAAAATTATGAATGAAATAGTCTAATATATTGCATATGCAAAATTATTATTAGTGGTATATGTTAAGAATGTGAGCTTTAAACTATTATTGAGAAATTTATCAGTTTAACTGTTATTCTCTAGACCAGTATTCAAATAAGCAAAGGTTTAGTAGAGACGAGGACATCTCAGTTTACAAAATTATATTGGGTTGACTAGGCATTCTTGTTTGAGTTCAAGAGGTGGTGTCAAACTATTGAATGGCCACTTATAGTGTGTGCAACATTACAAATGTAAAATATGTGTTTTTGTCAAGGTCTTACAATTGATTTATATGTAATGCACACAGATATTGCTGTACTACATGTAGCATACGACGTCCATCAAGGGAAGAGAATTGCAAAAAAAATTGGTAACATAGTTTTGGAAAAAGATCTTTGCTAATTAAATGCAAGACAAAGATGGACATAAATGTGAAAATAGAGTTCCTCAGGGTGCGAAAACAGTTAGTTGATTTTAATTGTGATTAATTCCTTTAATGACCTAGATCTGATTATTTGGTCAACTTGCTCAATTTATGATTGGTTAAATTATATGATCAATTTAAACATTTACAATCACAAATATAAATATTGTAAAGTAAAGCAAGTAAAAGTTTAGAGAGATTGCACCAGGATTTTTAGCGAGGAAATCCCAGTTGATAAAATACGTCAACTGTTTGCATGGGGAAAAACCTCGTGGACTATTCTGTCCAAAGTAAACCGATCCACTGTGTTTGAAATAAAGTACACCGAACTTTGACTCTGGTTCACACCCTATCGTTCTACCAAACATCAATTGCTGATAATCCTCTGACTTTGCGACTCCCCGTCCAACAGCAACTTGACCTCAACCTTATTAGAATTTTTGAATGAAAATTGTTTCATTAGTAATTGTAACGATCCGAACCCGTGGGTCCGAACCGTTATCCGGGTCCACGCTCTGACCTGAGGTCATCTAGGTCATACCATCTATTTTCCTATATCCATATTTGTCATAAGAGTCAATCAGGGTCTAAAAGAGTCCAAGAACATAGTGATACTGGGTGAGCAAGTGTACAGGTCCAAAAGGGAAGGGTCAGCCGGCTGATGGCCTTGGGTCGGCAGGCTGACAAGGCAGGATCGATCGGCTGACCTATAGGGTCGGCCGGCTGAAACGATTGTAAAACTTGCATGCTCTCGGGACTTTCCAAAATGGCTTGTCGGTCGGCTAATGGAGGGGGTTCGGTTGGCCGAACCTAGGGTTTTGGTCGGCTGATGGTGAGAGTCAGTCGGCTGAAACAAGGTCCTTCACAACCCACCTGGAAATGCATTCGCTCAACCTATACCAGACCTGTTATGGGATGAAATTCCGAATTCACAGCAACGAAGCATAATATTATATAATTGGATGGCATCAATAATAGATCAAAATATAATTTCCTTTCCTATTCATCATCAAGTATTTACATAGTCTCAAATTGTATCCAATTACCCTTAAAAGTTATAGTTACAATACATGGTGCCATGATTTCCAAAACAAATACACTCTACAAGAGTCTGAGACTTTACAAAAGAATGGCGATTACACAAAAGGTGTCAAAAGTGGATTCCTATTCTTCCTTAAGCTGGTGGAGGATTGTCATCCGCCACTTCCTTCCCGAGCCCTGAAAAATGTTAAATGATAGGGTGAGCATAAAGCTCAGTAAGTGGTACCTAAGACACACCCCTTGTGACCCCGTGAGTCCAAGCAATAAATAGAAATAAGATATCGGGATCATATTATGCCAGGGAGGAATATAATACAACTCAAGTAATAATAGAGCAATTTCATGCCATAAAAATGCAATGCCATGTATGTCACTCCCCATTCTCGAAATATAAATCCATCAGTTTTCAACCTGTTAATATAACCCGTCCGTTGGTGACTCCACAGCGACACGAGAGAAGGATTGGCTACTGTCCCTGACCCTTGGTATACCCGCGGCGTCATTTGGGGCCCAGCTAGCTCAACCACGCTAGGGTGATTTCCCTAGTTCCCTCTAGGTTATGTTAACACCACAGTCCTTTGGTGACTCCGCGGCGACTGGGTTTTCATAAAATCATTTTAATCAAAACAATTCCCCAAAATCTCTTTTTCATTTGTTTCAAATCATTTCTCTTCATTCATGCCCCATGTATGCATATATGTCTCATGTTTTCAATGCTAGGGCAATAAGGGATTTTATACTACACAAATAAGCATGCTTCCATCTAACAAATTCTAACAATTTAACGAACACAATAGGCATAAAAAATCAACAATTAGGCATACTTTCCATGTAAATCAACAAATACACATAATTGCATGCTTCATATACACAATTAAGTCATTTAAGAGATAATCAATTCAAATTAAGCATACTTGACAACAATTATAGTAGAAAACTCACAAAAGTGCAAGAAAGTGAGGATTAGAGACCCCTACCTCAAATTAAGCAAAAACCCCCAAATTTGCCATAGATCTC